ATTTTTAAGCACATCTTTTGATTTTTATCGACATACATTTTCAGGATTGCGTGAAATTAGAGATGTGGGGAGCAGACAATTTAGTAATGACAGTATACTATTAAACGGTTTATAAAATCATGTTAAAATATAAAAAAAATCCATAAATCAATAAAGCATATCTGATCACACAGGGGTTAGGCCAGGTTTGCCGGGAGATTGGCCCCTGCCCTGATCATGCAAGGGCCAGGCCAGCCTGGGCTTACCAGGAGTTTGGCCCCTGCCCTAATCACACAGGGATCAGGCTAGACTTGCCAGGAGTTTGGCACCCAGTCCCTGGCTGGGACCTGGACAGAGTGAGTGGCTGGTGACACTGGGCTCCCAGCTGCCAATAGCTCTACCCCTCCAAACCTCCCTCCTAGAACAGCCCTACCAGCACAGCCCTCAGCTCCTGCAGTGGCTGCCTGAGCCACTGCCAGAGAAGCAATGTGCAAGCGGCTCAGCTGGGGCTCCCCTCATCCTGCCTGCAGTGGCTTGTGTGTGGGTGCGCCAGCATGGCACCCCCTGCCCCAGATTTTCTTACCCCCATCCCAGATTTTTTTAGTGTCCCCTTTCTATAAATGTTGATGATTACCAACTAAAATATTTTTTCCATAGGTCTGTGAGTGTCAGGTAAAATCACCATTTATCAATGTTTGTCAATAAAAATCAAATCCTACCAAGCCTTGTCATAACCCAAAGGGGAAGAGTGAGGGAAGAGTCAGGAGTTAACAAGTCAGCCTGCTGCAGTGCGGCCTAGACTGAGGTCTGGAGCCAGGAAGCCAACAGGCTGGGACCAGAAACTGGAAAAATAGAAACCAAGAGGGAAAAAACTAGAACCAAGCCCAAAGCTATGCAACAAGAGCTATTGAATAGCAGGTTGGACACTGAAAGAGTTGTTGTTTATAAACAGAAAGCCACACCCATGATAGGAACTGGGGCCATCAGAAAACAGGTTACGGACAGCCAAGCCCACTCCGGTAACTAGGGTGACCTTTGGCCAATGTAGTTCACCTGCTACCCTGGCTCCTGACAGCAAGTAGTAGATTCTTCACTTATTGAAGCCTTCAAATCCAGACACCAGTAAGAACTATCAGTCTGGATTTCTACAGATGTATGAATACTGAATGTGTTTTAACAGTAATGTCTAAGCAAACTAAGCTTAGTGTTAAGTGTTTCTGTAAAAGGAAAAAAAGATTAAATTACCCATATTGGGATATAACAGAACATACTATGCAAATTGCTTTATTTTGTTTACTCACTGAATTTCAGCTGAGTTAAAAAAGTATGACCTTATTTTACACCAACTACTGTATTTACTTGAATAAAAGATGACCCTAAATATAAGATGACCCCCTCAATAATTAGATTCTATATATGGAAAATTTATACATTTGGTATAATTTTCCAGATATGGAACTTGATCATTGGAAGTATACCTTGAATTTGTCCCCCTCCCACTGTTACAGCAGGGAAAGTAAATCTGGGGGCTCAGGTAGTCCCTTTGCCACCCTAACCTCTTCCCCCTGTAGCCTGTTCCCCTGCAAACACTGACCTCGAAATAAATGTACTTGTAGTAATTTGCATGTAGGACCCATAAAATGCATATAGAATTCATGCTTTTTACCTTTTTTGAAACTACTGCAAGTTTTAGCACAGGTACTGCAGAAACACACTTTTAAGTAGTGCATTTGTATCTAATTATAAATAACACAAACTATGAATGATATTAGGCCAAAACCAAGAGACTCATGATTTACCAAATAGTTAATTGGGCTGAGCTCTACCAGAGTCAACAGCATTTCAAGCCATGGTGACCCCACAGCTCAGCACTGCTCAGTATTTGTGTATACTCTAGATAGAATCATAGAAAATTGGGGTTGGAAGGGACCTCAGGGGGTCATCTAGTCCAACCTCCTGCTCAAAGCAGGACCATCTACAAGTGTATAATTGCAGCCAAGACTATGTTTGCTTGGATCTTAAAAACTTCTAGGAATGGAGATTCCACAACCTCTCTGGGTAGCTTATTCCAGTGCTTTACTACCCTCCTACTGATAAAGTTTTTCCTAATCTCTAACCTAAACTTCCCCTGCTGCAGTCCTTGTCCTGTGATTGAAGTCCCCCCATGAGAACCAGGTTCTGCGATCTAGAAACTTCCTTTAGCTGTTTGAAGAAAGCTTCATCCACCTCATTCTCCTGGTCTGGTGGTCTATAGCAGACACCCAACACAGCATCACCCTTGTTGGTCTACCAGCTCACCCTATCCTCTGATACCCAACACAAAGGATGCATGTGCTAATTAGCCCCTACTCATGCTTGGAACAAGTGTTTCTTGTCATGAGTCATGGAATCCTCCAAAATTTATATGCAGATGAATCACAGGGCAACCTGATTCAGCTCCACCTCATAGAGGGTGGGACCTCACTAATCATATGTGACAAGCCAAGAGAGGAGGCAACAGAGGGATTCTGGTTGAATTCTCAGAGACCCCATTTGCTTACATTTGCCAGATATTTAAGGCCAGTGAAGAAACAGAAATAATTGGACATGGGAAATAAAGGTGTAATTCAGCTGTGGGAATGAAGAGGACCATGAAATATAGGCAATGTAATGGATCCCTATGACTTGAAAAAGGGTCGGTGCTAAGGGGAACTGAACACAACAGCCACCACCTCATATCTTATTCTGATGGGTTGCACTTACCTGTCCTTGTGGTAGGTTCCCATCACCATGGTTCTACAAGGCGCTGAATGAGTTTTGCAGTATGTATGGCCTACAGAACACAGACCTCACAATGATTACCAGCCATAACAAGATACAGGAGGTGGTGAGAAGTAGAGAAATCATGTCGCCCATGGACCTGCTCCCGGGTGATGCTTTCCAGGCCATGTGGGAGCGCATCTTCCACAAAGAAGTGCTCGAAGACCACAGAGACTTGAAATGGCTGGCAGCCCACTGAGCCCTTCTGGTGAGGGCTTGGAGACACAGAGAGGGGCAGCCAGAGAGACCCAGCTGCCCAAAGGAACGCTTCCAAGGAGCCACCAAGATGATCAGTCACCTCCTATGGCTTTGCTCCTATGCTAAAGAGCTGTGGAAAAAGGTAAAGTGGCTCTGTGAAGCAGTAACAGGGATCGGACAGCTGACCAGAGAGGTGGCACTGTACAGGCACCTAACCAAACACCAGGGGAGCCCATCAGACTTAGATCAATTCATGTCCTGCATCAGAAGCACCCTGTGGAAATCCAGGACCCTCTTTATGTACACACACACAAACCTAGACATGGTAGACTGTGTTAAAATGGCCCAAAGTGAAATCCAGTCCTACTACCAGAAATTGGTAGCAGAGGATGGTGAGGACACAACCAATCCACCTGGCAAAGGGACACTTGTCACAGGATCTTCCAAGACACCTCCTCCCCTCACCCTGTGGGGAAATGGACAGCAACAGCAAAGAGAACGAGACAATCAGATCAGAGGACAGAGACGAGGATAGCAGCAGTAACAGCAGCAGCGGATCCTCCAGCAGGAGCGACAGTGACAACAGATTAACTGAGACTTTAAATCCCGTAACTGGGAAGTGGACTCAGGGACTGTGTGTTTGGTGTAGGGAGGCCAGCGGGCACTTGCACGAGAGTGCGGGCCTGTGGGTGCGTGTTTTGTAATGAGTTTATGGGTTTTGGGGTGTGAGTGAAGGTATGTGATCAAAGGTGACTAGAAGGTGTAGATATATATAACTGTTATGTATATATAAAGACATATATATTTTTCCAAAAAAAAGAAGTTCCCATTACTTTCTTGGTCATTTTGGCTAAGAACAAACAGCAGCATTTTTAGCTCCAAGGAGAGGGTGTCAGGGCTGGCCCTCCTGGTGCCAGTTCCCTAGGGAAGAACCAACCCATTTTTTTTAAGGGCCAGCCAAAAAAAAAAAAAAGATTCCCATCAGCATGTTTGCCCAATGTGGGCGATGTGTTTTGTAGTCATGCTATGTTGGATACATTTAATCAGATTCATAGTTGGTTTCCATTACAGTATTGGACATATGCTGCTTTTGGCAGCAATTTAATGATTGACATTGTATTTAACAAGGTTTCCTTGTACACGAATATAAGGGGCTTATTCACCTCATACTAACTGAGCAAAAAAGCCTTGATTTGCATTTGAAAAAATCTGGTATATAATTTTAAGTACTGGAATGTGACAACTTTTTATAGTAAAAAAACTAAGGGAAACTAATGGGTCCTCTATTTTTTTCTGAACATTATTTCTCTCCCATGTCACAAAGTTTAGCACTGATTTGACTGCCATTTGATATGAATTTGCTCTGTTGAGTACTCTATACTTCAGCCCGAAGAAGTGTAGGCTTAGAGGTGACTTCTTGGCAGCATATAAGTACATAAGGGGTGTGCATCAGGAACTGGTCTGTTCAGGGAACCCCAAGGGAAGACAAGGTCCAATGGTCACAAACTCCTGGAAGACCATTTTAGGCTGGACATAAAGAAAAACTTCTTTACTGTCCGAGACCCCAGGCCTGGAATAGGACCCTCCCCCCAGCAGTGGTGGAAGCACCTACTCTGGACACTTTCAAGAAACACTTGGATGCCTATCTTGCTGGGATCATTTGACCCCAGCTGACTTCCTGCCCCTTAGGCAGGGGGTTGGACCACATGATCTTGTGAGATCCCTTCCAGCCTTAATGTCTATAAAATCTACACCAAGCAGGATTTTCTTATGGAAGTTCCAAATAACAGTGTTTACATTTACAAAGTGATTATTTGTAGTTTTAAAAAAAAAAAATATGGAAAAACTTAAGAATCTTAAAAAAACTTTCAGAAAGTTAATATGTAACCAAACACCATCAGATTATAGTCATACTCCCTGAATTTACATACCAGATCAAAGTCCTATCATAACACTTAATGACTTTTTGTGAACAGAAAAATGGTATAAATAGCCCCACAGTTCTGTAATTTTTCTAACCAAAAATGTGGGGAGAGAGACAAACAATGGTGGTGTTAAAAAGCGTGGTTCTTTTAATGTCATTTCAACTACTGCTCATGGTGAGAGGTTCTATGGTACAGCTGAAAAACGGTGGCTATGAGGACATTGTTATTGCAATTAACCCCCAGTTACCAGAAAATGACAAGATAATTGGAAATATACAGGTAAGAACACTGGTGTTCATCCGCATGTCATTCAGAGATACTAGGATTCCTTGGTTATTTTTCTACCTCTGAAGTAATCATAATGTTAAAAAGGGCAGATTTTTCTCCCATTGATATTGGTGGGAGTTTTTCCTTTGATTTTCAATTCCCTGTTTAGTAGGCATGTTCTTTTCTTGAATTTTTCTTCTCATTTGTTATTGCTAATAAGAACAGTAACCTCTTGAGACATAAATATTTTTGCTCAGTCCAGAAGAAACTCCTTCTCTACTGCTTCTTTCCAAAATGTATTAACAAAGAGAATTTCTGAAACATAGATATGTGATGACCATTTACTACTCTACAATTCCAGCATGATTTCATTACCTTCTATGCCTCCTTGTCTTCTTTAAAAAAGAAGTGTGTGAAATTGTAGTGCTATTCCTGGGTTTAGTTTATGTTCTGGTCATTGGGTTAACTACTTCTGTCCCCTTCACAGCCTCCTCAAAGGCACCCCACTTAGGAGTTTCTAGCCATGATCTTTCTTGGGGGAGGAAGTCCTGAATAGGACCTTTTCTGATATCTTCTTGCAATACACTGTGATCACTCTAGATAGTCTAACTTTCATACAGTTCTTGCTCCCTGAGCTCCTTCAGGGAAAATGACAGAACTATTAAATGACCAGCCAACCTTTAAACAGCAAAATGTTTATTACAGAAAAGCTTTATAGATAATACTCCTAACCATATGTAGGCTTATTTTCATACTTTTCTGACCAAACCATCACCCATCTTCTGCACAGCATCTTTGGTACGTCTAATGTTTAGTGTCCTCTTGCTGAATCTTGTTCTCTTTCTGTCCTGGTCACATGTCAGTTCTTTGATAAAGTGTGAATTGAATTATACCCACCATAGGGCAAGTTTCTCCTTTAGAATCACAGAATCATAGAAAATCCTGCTAGAAGGGACCTCAAGAGATCATCTGGTTTAATCTCCTGCTCAAGGAAGCAACATGCCTGTCCAAACTATTGCAGACAATTGTTTGTCTTACCTGTTCCATGACTTTAAGCTTCCAGTGACAGAGATCTTTACAGATTCTATACGTAGTTGATTTCCATACTTAACTACCACTTTAGGAAGTTCTTTGGACATTTATAATACTCACCCACCTAGGTCTGAGGAAGGGCACTGTGATAGCCGGCCTATGTCTATACCAACCATACAGTTGGTCCAATAAAATATATTACTTACAAGAATTCTTGCCTCTTCCATACCTCCTGAGTCATCACATCACCTTAGTGACACGCTTAGTGACAAAGGTTATTGAGGAAACATCTCTTAGCTAAAACATTTACATATATTATTTGTATAAAATATATATATATAAAACATTGATACAACATCATTTGAAAGATCCTTGTTTCCAATGTTTGTCACAGCTTGTACCTTAATTTATCAAAGTCACAGAGTATCAGAGATTAGCTCTGTGTTGCCATAGTTTGAGCCATTCAGCATTAGCTGCTGTGAAACAAATATAAACTGAGGAGGGAATGGTTAACAGCTCAGGCCCCTGAAAGATCCAGCTTAGGAAATAAAAGAGACAACAGGAAGCAAAAAAAGTAGAAGAAAACAGTAGAAGCAAAGAAGTAAGATGAAAAAATAGAAATTGGGTAAAAGAAAAGGGGAACTGCATAGGTTGGAAACAGATGTAACTTTTGTGCTGCCATAAAAATGTTTATGGCAGACAAAGGCCAAGCAAACAGATGCCCATGTCCCTTATGCTACAAATGTAAAGAATGGTGGCCATGACTGTAACAGGGTCGCAGCTGCAACTCTGTTACTAAGAAGGGGTAGCAGCTGCCAAAGATTAGAACATCCGGGAAATGAGGAATGCAATATCCAGGCAGCCAATGAGGACCCAGAGAGGGAAATAAGGGATGGAGGAAATCTCCCAAAATTGCCTTCAGGCACTTACAGATGCAGAGAGAAGCGGGTGAGGAGCCCTACAATGAGAGATTCAGAGGGAGTCTTGGGGACAGGGACTCACTCTCAGACGATGAAGAGACTTGGGGATCGATGTGCCCCATGGGTCGCTTCCTACCTGGAAAGACAGCCTCTCCGGTGAGTCATAGAAAGTGCAGCAGCAGCACGGAGAAAAGCTGTGGCTCCGGGCCAAGACGCGGTGGGATTACCCGAGAGAGAGAGGGGGCGGGGGAACAGCCGATCCTGCCCTGAAGAAACAGGACCCCAATCTCTCACCAGAGGGCGAGAAGGGGCGAGGAGAAAAAAAGAAACAGAGAGACTGTAAAAGAGCCACGCTTCGCACACCGGCACAAGCCGCAGCCAGGAAATCCCAGTGTTGCCGTTAATCAGCCGCTAATGAGGTCATTACAGGCTTATCTCCAAGATAACGCTTGGTGCTTACCGGCTGAGACGGACGACGAGGATCTCCGTGTTAGATCCAATAAACTGCCCTTCGCCTGGTGTCCCTAGAGAACGTAAACCAGGCTATAGATAATAAAGCACCCTTGATCAAAGACCTGGCCAGTGTATTCCTTACCGTGGTACCGGCGTGTAACAACACTTCCTCCCCAGAATTTGCATTGAGTTCAAGTCGTGGCAGGCGGGAATTGCGGGAGCTACAAGATAAGCAGGTACCCCGGATGGGCACGCTGACAATGACAATAGATAGTATACATTTGTGCTGCTTTTTTGCAACGGACATCTGTTTGCTTTAAGGCAGGAGAGCATGAGCAGCAGAGGATTGGGCCGCTGAAGACCCGGGAGCACCTGCCTGGTTTCCTCCATTTGCAGAGGTGCAACCCAGGAATCCCTTCCCAGGGGATTCCCCAGGCCTGTGTATGGTGCTGCCATGCCCCGACTTGGGCTCCCCCCAGTTGTAGAAGTGTACCTGACCTAGGACATAGCAGTGTGATACACATGCCTAGGGAATGCCCTGCTGGGGGATTTGTGGGGCACATGTCTACAAGCAGGGAACCTGGGGTTCCCCTTTTTACAGTGGTCCCACAGGACCAGGCCCCTGAAGTCCTGGGAATGGCAAGGGCATGACCCTGCAGGGCAATGAGCAACGTCTGTTTCAGCCAAAGAACTGGATCAACTCTGCTGGGACATCCCAGCACAGCTGATCCTACTCCAAGGACAATGTCTATTTATAGCCATAGAAAAGTGAATAGGAACAATAGGTTATTAGTATTATTTATTGATCCAGCAACATAACATTTTACAGACAAATAAAAATAACTGGTCCAGAATTGAACCATGTGCATCTTTCACCTCAAATCAGTGTAAGTTTGGGGTGAAATTTTGTGTTTGGAAGGCTCTTTACCAACTATTTTGTTTAAAGGCTAGACTGTGGATTTTATCCTAAGCCCTAAGTAAGAGACTGTCTAATACCCAGAGCAAATGAGGTACTTTGAGAACTACAGATTAGCACCTGGTTTATTCCTATTTCCTTTGGGGAAAGTTCTCGACCAGTCAGCCCTTCATTTGGTGAGGACTGAAAGACTGCTTTCTTTCTATGCCTTTACCTATTTATTGTTCTTGTTTTCTTGTTTGCTGACCAGGGTAAGTTATTTATTGCTTCTACAATTATATTCTTAATTCATAAATATTTTATTTTCTTTCTCTACAAGGCCATGGTTAAAGAAGCTTCTACATACTTGTTCCAAGTAACAAAACAACGGTTCTTTTTCAAGGTTATAAAAATTATCATTCCTCAGACATGGCAGCAAAAAAGTAACTATTCAAGACTAAAAACGGAGTCATATGATAAGGTGAGACTGACAGAACTCTTTACAAATCAAAATTCCTATATTTCCTAACATAACCAAATCACCTGAATAAGATATGCACCTGGTTTTTGAAAGGTGTCTCTTGTTTCTGCAGAAGAATTCTGCCAGGAAGTGGGAGAAAGTTGGGGGAGAATGTCTCCACAGTCAGAAGCTAAACAGTAGGGGTGTGCGAAGTGGGCCATATTCAATTTGGATTCGGCCTGATACAGGGGACAGTGATTTGATTCATTGATTTGGATCACTGTCCCAATTCAGTTCAGCTGAATCCGAATCTGAAGATTCTATTCTGATTCAGAGAATCAGTGATTCGGCCATAGACGCAGCTTTATATGCCTTATCTACATACCTCTAGGTACCATGCACAGCTCATGAATGCTGAGATGGTGGGGTGGATGGAGTGATCCACAGGAGCACGAGGAAGGCCCCCACATGCTTGACACTCCCCCCCACCCCCAGGCCCCCCAGCTCAGTGATTGGCTGTGGGGACCCAGACCCAGGAGGCACCAGTTGCTGAGCCGGGGGGGGGGGTGGTCCCCTGCGCACTTCATGGTGGATCCAGAAGTGGACTGGAAGTGCTTATGATCCACTTCCAGGTCTGCCACCAAGTGCACTGGGGACCCCACACACACACACACACACACACTCTCTCCCGTGGGACGCTCCCTCCACCCCACCATCTCAGTGTTCACGAGCCACCTGGTACCTTGAGGTATGTAAAAAAACAAAAAACAAAAAACAAAAAACCCCACCCACATAAAGCTGTGTCTATGTCTGAATCATCAAATGTCTCCAAATCTCTCTGAATCAAATCAGAGGCTTCCAATTTGATTCAGAGAGATTAATGGGCCTCCTGATTTAATTTGGATTTGGAGATTTGGCCCCCGAATTGGGCCGAATCTCCACTGAATCGAATCAGTGACCAAAGCTTCGCACAGCCCTACTAGACAGTCCCATGTACACATGTTCACTGCAGCATGACTTTCACTTGGCACCACTTCCCTCCCACGCCCTCCCCTAGTAGAGATAAACTGCTATTACCATATTTCCTTGCTTAGAATATACCCTGATTCACAGAGCTGAATTTCAGAAAAAATGGGCGTGCTGTATGCAATGAAATACAGCATTTGTTGGGTTTATAATTGTAATAAAAGGTTTACCCAATACTGTGATTATGTGAATTGTTTTTAGAACATGTATTGCCAACCTGGGACCCAATCATGCAAATCTTCTCCCAGGAACAATCAATGGGTCTTTTCCTTCTGTATAAGGAAAAAAGAATTGAGCCCATTCAACAGAGTCGTCATATTCTGCGCTGTTCTTCAGATCACAGGTTTTTTACTTTTAGGCAGATGTCATAGTGGCTGATCCCTTCTTGAAGTATGGAGATGATCCGTACACTCTGCAATATGGAGGATGTGGAGAAATGGGACGATACATTCATTTCACACCTAACTTCCTCTTAAGCGACAGTTTGTTCGATATCTATGGATCACGAGGTAACACCATCTATTTGACCTCCAAATATCTGCTTTTATTTATACTCATAATGGCCAAGATTTTTTTTTAAAGTGATCAGTTATATGAGGCAAATCTTCTTTTGTATAATCTACCTGTGATACCTTGAAAAAGTGTGGCTCCTGTAAAGTCACTTAGAGAATGGACAGAAGGAGAGGTCATGCTGAGTTAAAAATATGGGGAAAGAGATGAGAGAAAATACTTGACATCAGTTTCTGTGCAGTAACTCTTTTTATGTGTCAACTCCTCCCCCATATACTAAGTGGACATTAAACTGTAATAACTTAGCTGTGTTTTATTTGGAGCTTACTCTGGGTTAGTTTTGATTTACTGTGGAGTAGGAGTGGATACACAAAACAATTACCACAAAGTAGCAGATGTCTAATAAGTCCTCTTCCTTTTAGATCCAAAGTCGAGGCACCACAATCACTAGTTTTTGTTTTTCCCCCTAAATATTACCTTTGAGTTTTGCATTCATCAAGGCTTGTTTCCACTTAAATCACTGTTTAGACCTGAAAATCCTGTATATTTACATTGACACTTCAGTACATACAGTAAACAAATGTGACAGCAGCAGTTAGTATGCCAATAAAACCAGTCCCAGATTGGTGGCTCCCAGACTGAAATATACTCATACACCTGAGGGTTTCATATTTTTCTTGCATCTTATGGAAGTCTCATTTGCCAAATTCAACTACTTACATACGTATGTTCACAACAAACTAATATTCCCTTTTGATTTCATAATTACACTTTTAGCAAAATGCATCTTGCCTTAAGAGGGGAAAAAAGCAAAGGAAAATACACCTTTGTTACAGCATTATGCACTTTTGTAGATTGTAAACTGCGATTAATCTTTCTCTTACGCCAATTTGATCAAAATATATCCAGTTCACGAGTGTCTGTTTCATACATAAGCTAGAATCAATCCTTTATGCTCTTTTTTTTAAAAATAGATCTTCAAAACCAGGTACTTAAATCCAAATGCCCCTAAATATGATTAATTATTTGGATTTAAGTCTATGGTGCATCTTTATTTTATTAGATCAAAGTCTTAGAGGTTCAATAGGCATCAGGATCAGCCTTGGAGTTGGATCTGGCCTGTGAACACGTCTAATATGGATCATGGAGGCTGGATTTAGCATGCGGAATTGGTGGCACGGAGCTGCATTGTGCCACCCATCCCCGCTGCAGCGCTCTCCTCCACTGCAGAGCCTGGTGCTCCGACATGTCTGTGCCTACCCTCTCTACAGAGGGAATGGATCTGTAGCAAGATGAAATACATCACTCCAGAGGACCAAGACTTGTGTCTGGTGGCTGTGGCCTGCTCACAAAGTGGGGCCCTGGCATGGGCAAAACGGCCTAGGATGTAGAAATTCACAAGTGTCTTTCTCTGGAGATTTCTGGTTCAGTCAAATACAAACCAAAATTCTGGTTCTAGTTAGACATCAAACACAAACCTCCTTGGTTTAAATGTCACCTCAAGGTAAATTTAATTTCCCTTTTGTTTGTGTTATAGAAGAAATAAGAATTATGATTTCCAAGACTAGGGTGGCATGAACCACCTTGCTTAATACCAGGAGTGGTGAGGCACCACTGCATAAAGTGGATAAAGGTGTTAAATCCTCACCAAGAGCTGAAAAATCTTGGGGTGTTAAATTAAGCCTGGTAATCTATTCAGGATTAAAGTCTTGATTCTGAAATAGGTACACAGGTTTGCATTAGCAGAGTTCATTAAAGAAATTAGGCCAAATTTTCCTAACATGACTTAAATCTAAAGTAAATTTTAAACTGTTGGATTTAGATGCACACATGTTCTTGCTTTTCCACAGCCAGAGTCTTTGTCCATGAATGGGCTCATCTTCGGTGGGGGGTGTTTGATGAATATAACAATGATGCACCGTTTTATGTGTCTAATGACTTTGGAGAAGCAAAAGTTGAAGCAACAAGGTAGTATTCCTTCACATTCTATCTTTATCTGATATCATCTGTAATATTTTGGTTACATCTCCCATATTTTTGTTTTCCATGTCCTGTCTGTAGTTTGAGCTCTGAGTATTGTTTTGTACCTGATTAAAAGGAACCTTAGTTCTAACAAGTATCACAATTCACAGTTTAGTCTTGTTGGACTGCATTCACTATTGTTTATATTTAAGATAGTGTGCTCTTTTATGCTATGTGGAAATGCAGATTTGAATTCTCTTAGCATGAAGTAAACAAGAATGCTTTCTCAAAACCTCCTGGGAAGCAATTCTCGAAGTTCCAAATTAATTTATTAGTCATGTTCATTTTCTTTAGATTATTAAAAGGGAAATAAATAGTTCAGGTTTGCCCTATTAGATACCAACATTTATTGATTTGGGGGTTTTTTTGCGTGGAAGGCAGCAACTAAATGACAGAACAAGCTATAAACAGCAGTGCTAAGGGATAAGGCTAGATTGACAGTTTTAGATTTGAGACCCATTGCAAGACTGTCAAGTATCCTGGTGCAGGTATTCAATGCAGCCATTAAAATGATAAATAGGACATTGCTCCATGATGTGTGCTATAGTTTGGTAGTTACACTCACACTTAAGGTCTTTAATAAAATTGCGTTTATGTAGTAGGTAGTTATACCTACCCAGGCCAGATGAACCCCTTTCAGCAGTGTCCAGCTCCACCTTGGTAAAGCAAAGCCAGGAGGTTTAGATATGGGGTCTGTGGTAAGAAATGTATTAATGATGTCAACTGCATTCCATTACTGGATCTATTTTTCCATGATGTCAAAGTTTTCGCCATTCATCTTTTTTCCTGCACTATGCTATGCTCCCAATACCAACATTAACGCTTACAATGATCTTCTGCGGATTCTGCATATCTGATCTTTTTTTTTAATTTGAAAAAAATCTGCCAATACAAAACAAAAATAATACAGTAAGATGAGTTACCTCAATGATCTGAAATGAGATGTAGAATATTTTACTTTTCAAGCACTTGTAAACCTTTTACAGCACAGATAGTTTCTTGTTTTTGCACAGAAACCCTATCACAAAAGGAGAGCAGTCGTGGCCTAGGTCAACTGTAATACCATAATTCAAATAATAAACACCAAATAATAGTTATCTTTTATTATTTGTGGCTTGATGGCTGTCTCTTTTTCTATCTTATCTCACTGCAGGTGTTCAGCTAATCTTACCGGTCAATATATATTCCAAAGCTGCCAAGGAAACAAATGCACTATTAGGCAATGCAAATACAGTAATATGACAAATCTGTTTGAAGCTGGATGTAAATTTGTTCCAGAAAAAAGGCAAACTGCCTCAACATCTATAATGTACATGCAAGGCTTACCTTCTGTGAGTATCCTTATGTATTTTCTGGACTGCAGAGGTAGCCAGCATTTGGGCATTTGTGCATTATTTGTGTCAAAATTAAATATGGTATCAGATATTTCCTTGTTGAAATCCAGGTAATTTTCAAAGAAAGCACACAAAGTTTTGTTTGGAATCAAACAGTGAGGGACAGTATTAGCTGATTAGAGTTTCAAGCCACTTTCCAGCTATTGTTCTGCCTGAGATGCTTCTCTTTGCTCTCTCAGCACCAAGTTCATAGTCCTTCTCTTGCTAGCTTGCCTGGCTTTTTAGTGACTTCTTTCTCTGTCTGTTCTATCAATGTTTCTTGCCCCCAGCCACACACTTAGCTACCAAACTATACCCAGCCTAACTACTTCACCTATAGAACTCAGCTTCTGATGACCACTACTGCAGGTGGCCCATGTTTTAGGTAGTAGCTTCTATTTGAACTCTATTACTCCAAGAAGGAGTTTAACAGCTTCTGACATTTCTCTTGAATATGTAATGGAGACAGGTATGTGCCCATGACTCAAAAGACTTTTTTTCTCTGTATTCAATAGGTTGGCAAAATAATTTGTTCCATTACTCACTCTTATGAATTTTGCAGAAGGGCTCCTCTTGAGACCCCCAGCCTTTACACAATCTGAGTACCCCTAGAAGCCAGCTCAGGGATAGAAGGCAAGCCCCATACCTTTTTCAGTTTAACCAGACCTTTAGGTCCGTAGCAACAGTTCTTGTCTCTATGGCCCCATTAGTGTGTTGCAGTTGCCTAGGCCCTGATAGGAACAATCACCTTTAAGGGAAGGGATACAATCATAAGTGCATTACAAGAGACAGAACATGACAGCATGTGTCTGGTTAGCTGGAACACAGCAGGCAGAGTCATTGGATCAAAACAGCTAATCTGAATCCAAGCAGAGTCCATATCAGCAAGCAAGATGGAGCACAGTGTCTAGGTCCCTTTGGGGTCCAAGATATGTCCCCTCTTCAAGCCAGTTTGCCCCTTTTAGCCTTCTTTGATCTTACTTGGCCTTGTCTACATGTCGCCCTATGGCAACGTATCAACGTGCTACATTGCCATACAGCATACTATGGCAACGTAGCGATCACGTGTCTCTCCATGTGTATCTATAATGCACTGCTACAGCAACATAGCTGGTGAATCTATGCATGCGCTGCCTGTATGTTGCAGTACGGGTGGTTACTGCACCATGTTTTACTTCCGCATAGCAAGTACTAAAACACCGTGCAGTAACAATGTCACCGTATGGCAACATATAGACACTCCCCTTGACAGGTAAACACCAGTCCCTGTGGGGGTTCAGTGTTATTCACCCAGGAATTCCTGATGGCTCCTTTCTTTAATCACAGAAAGCTGTGTGTAGAAACCAGTATTTTACCCTCTTCTAGATCAGGGAGAAGGTTAATCTGTTCCTTCCTAGTGTAAAACATCATATAATCAAGAAACGGAAACTGGGGCACATAAAATGATCACAGACATATGACAAAATTGTTATATTTCTTTGTGTAATATGTGAGCATTATACATGAATAATATACTGTGTATGCTAATATTTCACATTTAACACATACAAAATAGACAGGCTGCTGCTATATGTACACCTGCTGTTCAGTAATCATTCTTCTCCCCCAACTATTTTTTAGGTGGTTGAGTTCTGTGATAAACACAGTCATAATGAAAAAGCTCCAAATATGCAGAACAAAATGTGTAAATACAAAAGCACATGGGAAGTAATTATGAACTCTACTGACTTCAGCAAAGCCTCGCTAATAAACAGCTCTCATCCTCCATCTGAGCCCTCTTTTGTACTGTTACAGGCCAGGGACAGAGTTGTCTGTCTAGTCCTGGATGTTTCTGGGAGTATGGGTGCTGTAAGTATTACTATTTTATAAATAATTTTGAACATAAACACTTACAAAGATAAATACAAAATAGCTTATTTAACTTTATTTTTTTAGTCAATATTTCAGTTGCCAGATTTATTCTTTTAGAAAACTTGACACTGCTTTTGCTCACCATGGCACTTTTAAATTTATATATAGATATAACCCCCAAATACTGACTACCCCTGCAGACCAGAAAATGTATAAGGATACTCTCAGAAGGTAAGCTTTGCAGGTACATTATAGATGTTGAGGCAGTTTGCTTTATTTCTGGCATGAATTTAATTCCAGCTTCAAACAGTTTGTGCACTCTAATAGTGCATCTGTTTCCTTGGCAGCTTTGGAATGTGTGTGTGTGTGTGTGTGTGTGTGTGTGTGTGTGTATTTTTAAAAAAAAGAAAGAGAGACTTAATTGCTAAGATTAATGGTGCTTTGGTATGGTTGGAATGATGTTGTACCCATGATGGTCCAGGAAATATGTGAGAGGTATGGATTTTTGTGGGTGATATCTTTTATTGAACCAACTGCATGGTTGGTATAAACTTAGACAAGCTTTTAGCTGCAGAGCATTCTTCTTCAGTTCTGAGGAAAAAGTAGGCACCATGAAAACAAAATATAGCAGGGCTGTGCAATTAGAGAAGAGAGAAAATGTCAAGGGTAACAAATAAGAAAATCATAGATGGAAAGATAGTTTGACAAGTGGAAGATCAATTTTTTTCAAAAGGGAAGAGAGTCATTATCACCTGTGGAGTGAATAAAAATTGGGAGTTAGTACACTATAGTATACCATGAAGTAAATATCAATGGTCAGTCTTCGGTGCTTAATATCCAGCTTATGAATTGTTGTTCCCAGGCTCACCTTTTGAAGGTATTTTGTATATTTCCCTTCAATATAACAATAGTGTGGTTAAAAACGTAGCTGTTCTGTGGAAAGTATTCAGCTACATGAGATCATGTGTCTCTGTCCTTAACTTTTTTCCTATGATAGTTAATTCTGGTGAACATTTTTAGTGTACTTTCCCCCACATCATTTCTAAGATCTTATTTTGGATCCTGATGGGTTTGTTGTTGGAGACCGGTTAATTACTGTAGCAATAGAAATGTGCTAACAAGTTTCCATCTACTGTTAAGGCAAGGCTGCAAACCATTTAATGTCCATTGATTGGAGGGGAGTTTCATTCTGATAATGGATTAGCCAAGATTAGGGAATAGTTTAAAAGCCAGGAGTGGGAAGCTGAAATATTTCTCTCAAGATCTGATTTTTTTTTTTTTTGAGTTTGAGTTGTAATTGTTTGATGATTCTTCTTATCAGTCTAAATGTGAAGTGATAGGTGACAAGGAGGAGTGTGCAGTCACAGGGCAGTTAATCTTTTTGTACAATAGCAGGTTACTGCAGGGTATTTGGATGGCTCTTTCAAAGATATGATTTATTTCTCTGCTAGTGTCCCTGTTGCGTAAAGACAGATTTCAAGTTGGCAGAGTAAGTGGCCCAAGTATGTTCTCCAGAGCTGATGAAGAGATTATAGCTTTTATGGTGTCATAAATGGGTTGGTGTTGTATTGCTGTGCAAGTGGGTTTTGCCCCTGCATAAGAGTTTTTTTTTTTTTTTCTGAAAATCCAAACAATAGTCCATGGGCAGGCTGAGATGCCTGCAGCCCTATTGTTCGACTTTGCTTCCTTGGGAATCCCTCAGCCAGTACACAACATAGAGCAATAATCCTTGGTTGAGACAAATGAATAAAGCAAATCTTTAGCCTTTTCTCAGGTAGCAGGAAAGGGCCTTTTAACTCTGGCCTGTCCTAAATGCAAGCTCCTCTTGGTTTCAGTCTGCTTCTGATGCAAACTACTCCTTCACAGCTCAAGTTGTTTGCTTATTCTCCACCTTGGGCCTGCTAATCACCCATAGCTGGGCTCCTACCCCTTAACTGACAGGGTCAGACCACCCTGTTACAAGTGTCTGGGATGATTTCTGGCTTTGTGCACAAAAGTGAACATAGATTTAATTTGTATAGAAGAGGCGTCAGTAGGAGAAAGTATACGGAACTGTTCATTTTTCTGATCTTTCAAAGCAAGTTCAAATCAGTTTGGTAGTGGTTGTTAGAAAGTTATTAGACAAGATGTTACATTTTTAATGTTACAAGGGAGTTTTCCTTATTTTTGGTATGCACCTGGCTCATCATTAACTGGGCCCTCCCAAAACGAACCAGTTCACTAATCTTGGTTCCTTGCCTGACACTTAATACAATTTACATTAAAAAGGTCTAAAAGTGAGTAAGCACCCTGATTCTTTGTGCTTTCATTAATAATAGAAATAGATCTTTTGGTCAGATTTTGCTTAGGACCTTAGCAAAAATATACAGTTAAAATATAATGATACACCACTGAAGGTTAAGTAATTCACCAAATGTTATTCATTAAATGTTATCATCTGACCAGATCACAAAAACAAACTTCTTGACAGAGCTGACATTTTTTCAGTCTGGGGGGCTATAAGATTGGAATAGCA